TTTATGAGTGCCAGTGTGGTGTAGTAGGTAGAATGTTGAACTAGAGAGACTTGAGTTCTAATCTCTGCTTGCAATGAAATGCACTGAGTGACCTTAGCCCAGTCATTCTCTGTCAGCCTAGCCTACTCCACAGGGCTGTTGTTGAAAGAACAAAATGGGGGGGGGAATCATGTACACTGCCCTGGGTGCCTTGAAGGAGGAGTTGTGATCTAAAAATACACCCAATAAATTCAGAAATAGTTGAAAAATGCATTGGGAGAAAATCTGGTGCAACAAAATGATCTGAAAATAAAGGCCCATGGGTTTGATTTGCACAAGGAAGAAATGAAATCAAAATGGGGTTTTTTGGTACAAAGCATCAGAAATGAGGAATTCTCAATTATCCATCTTATAAGCTTCTGGGCCGTTCAGAGCACAGTTTGAAAACCTCGGCTGCAAAACAGCATTATTATCTTTGTTTGATATTTAAAATATAAAGGGATAGCAGCACACTTTGCCATTCCTGTTTTTGTCAGTAATGGGGCCAAATTTTGCTGGACTTAATGCCTGGCATATCATTCCATTCATCGTCCTTATTATATCACTGACAGTTGGGGCCTGCACAGGAAGCAGGAGAGGTAATGAGAGGCCATACAGGAGTCATTTGCAAAACTGAAGAATACGGCAAGATTATAGGCAGTCATTTCAGGCTTTGTGTGAAGATTGCCTCATGGAGAGCTGGCAAAAGGACTTCAGTCCCGGCCTGTAGCATCAGCAGCTATTTTGGTCTCCGGTTGACTACCTTACTTTGCTAATGCACTTTAATTTGGATTCGTGACGCCACCTGCTAATCTCATCCAGGAACGCTCCTGGACAGAAAATGGGAACTGCAGATGATGACCTATGCTAGGATTTGAAGCTGAGATACTGGAGGCGAAATGCTAGCGCAGTCTCATACCTACTTCTCCTATAGCTGCGAGGCATTTCTACAGGGCTACAAATCTGCCTGACAGATCTATGTTGGGTGCACCGTCAGTGATCGTTTGACTTGAGCGTTTGCATCATATTTCAGATCAATCCTGCATCGCTGTCTGTTCTGTAGCGTGTTGCAAGGGCGGTATTGGTGGGGCAGGCATGGCCTGGAATTTGGTAGGAGAGGAGTTCGTAATTTGAAAATTAGGAAAGATGTGGGTTAGAGATTTCTCTCCCTTTCAGAACTTGGAATCCTAAGGATGCTGATGGACAATAGCTTCAGAACTGATTGCAGGAAGTATTCTTGCAATATGCAATTACCTTCTTGGAATTCATTAACCTAAGAAATGATGCTGGCCACCAGTGTTCCCTCTAAGCTGAGTTAGTGTGAGCTAGCTCACAGTTTTTTAGCCTCCAGCTCAGACATTTTTGTCTTAGCTCAGGAAGGAGGGCTCCAGAGCAAACAAATTCAGGTAGTAGCCATATTGCTCACTCACAACTTTAATGGCAGTAGCTCACACAGTAGAATTTTTGCTCACAAGGCTCCGCAGCTTAGAGGGAACGTTGCTGGCCACCAGCAGAGATGGCTTTTGAAAGGATCCATCCTGTGCCTTTTATCAGCAGCAGTTCCCTGACCACAACTACTAACTGTTTCCCTTTCCATGCTCATGACTAGCCATTACTTTTGGGGCAAGTGTCCAGCAGTGCAATCCTGAACACAGCTAAACCTTACCAAGCCCACTGACTTTAACAGACTGAAAAGGGTGTACCTTTGTTTAGGACTGCATGGCAGGTGTTCTCAGTAGGGTTGGCAGCTCTGGGTTGGGAAATTCCTGGAGATCTGGGGGTGGAGCCCAGAAAAGGCAGGGTTTGGGGAGGGTCCTCAGCAAGGTATAATACTGTGGAGTCCACCCTCCAAAGAAGGTCTGGAGATCAGCTATAATTCCGGGAAATCTTCGGGCCACACCTGGAGGATGGCAACCCTACTCTGTAGGCTTTGCAGTGCTGTCCCCTTCTGCTTCTGTAGGCCAGTAGCTCAGCCATCTGCCTTCCATGAAAAGAGCATCAGCTTGAGATACTCTCCAAGCCCTCCAGTCAAGGAGCCATGCCTGCCTAGATCCAGAGGAGTTAGCTGTGTTAGTCTGTTGCTGCAAAACAGTAAAAAGCCCAGTAGCACCTTTAAGACTAACAAACTTTATTGTAGCATAAGCTTTTGAGAAACACTTGACGAAGGGAGCTGTGTTGAATTGGTTTTTATATAGATGCATTTTAGATTTTGTTTTAATGTTTTGGCTGTTCACCACCATGGGGACCTTGAGCTGAGTGGAAAGGCAGCATAAAATGTTTCAATTAAATAAAAATTAATAAAAGTTATTGGGGATGGGGGAACCCTGAATTTAATCCAAAGTTGTCCTTCTTTGCATGGGAGGGAGTCTTTTACTCACAAAAGGATTCCTTTTGTGAGTGGAAAGACATCTTTAGAGCCATCCCATTCACTTGAGCACAGTTCTAGAGAGGTACAGGTGTGTAGAGGGCTCAGTATGCGGTTGTGGAAAGGCCTGGTGGGAAGGAAGTGGGGGGAGAGGACACCTGTGTGCCCAATTCAGCCTTAGCTATTTGAAACAGCAAATAGCAGAGCATAGATGTCTTAAATAGATTCAGTACAGGGAGTGGCAGAGACTTAAATGGCAAACAGAAGTACTGTTTGATTTTGTACTCTGTGACAACATAACCTTTGAATAATTTGCCATGGCAAATTCCAGTTTCCTTTAGTTTGTTAAAGACTGCAGGTGAGCGATGCGTGACTCACTGGTCACATGTGCGACCCACTGGCATTTGGTAGAATCCCAGCCATCATTCTTTGAATAAAGGGCATGTTCTTGTCTCAAGCAGTGGTTTATTTTTAAAGGATGCAGCAGAACACCATGGGGTCTGACTCAGGAGCCCTTTCCTTTCAATCCAGATGCAGAGAGGCGAGTTGTGATTACACTAGTCTGTTTCAAACATTATGCCAGTAGCGCTTCTGTTTTGTTGGGATTAAGTTTAATCATTTTAGCCCTCATCCACCCCAAAACTGTCTCTAGGCACCTGTTTACAGTTTCCACCGCTCCTCTGGAAATGCAAGGTGGAGCTGAGTGTCATCCCTGTATTGGTGGCAACTCAGACCAAAACTCCAGATGACCTCTCCCAACGGGTTCACATCGATGTTAAAAAGCTCAATAAGCTGGAACCTTGTGGGCCCCAGAAGCCAAGCGGCCAAGTAGGAGCCCCTAGCATCACACTCTGAAATCTACCTTTGAGGTAGGATCGAAACCACCACAGAACAGTGCCTCCCAATCCCAACCCAAAAAAGGTGGTCCAGAAGGATACCACGATCAATGGTATCGAAAGCTACTGAGATGTCAAGGAGAATCAACAGGGTCGCACTCCTCGCTGCAGGTCATTCACCAGGACAACCAAGGCAATTTCAGTCTCATGACCAGGCCTGAAACCATACTGGAGTGGATCCAAACAAACTGCTTTGTTCAGGAATCCCCAAAGTTGTCAAGCCGCCACTTGTTCAATTACCTTGCTCAGGAATGGTATATTTGTGAGTGGGCAATAGTCATTCAGTTCTGCTTGGTCTAGAGTAGGTTTCTTTAGGAGTAGACATGCTACTACCTACTTCAAGGCAGGGGCAACCACCCTTCTTTCAGGGAGGCATTTACTGTCTCCTGGACCCAGTCTGCCAGCACCTTCCCCCTGCAGAATTAAGCAGCCAGGAGGGACAAGGGTTTTACAATCAGGTACTAGGTCACAAAGTTCCAAGAATCTATATTTCTCCCCTACCCCTTTTTTCCTTCTGTATCCCACCCTTTTAAGAGAAAATAATAAAAAAATTATTTACACAAAAACTTATTTACACAAACTTCCAAGAATCCTGTCCACATCCTCAGACTGAATATGACACAACAGATCATCAGTATGATATTTGTGAAAACCATAACTTTTTTAGATAGTCTACTGAAGTTCATGCAGTCTAATGGAGTAGCACCCTGTAAGTAGCACGCCTTGCCTTTGTAAAGTTCTGGGAACTTTCACTTGCTTTAGTATGTATAGAGAAAGTCTGACAGAACTCCTTGATTTCACAATTGTTCTTCTTCTTCTGTGTGTGTGTGTGTGTGTGTGTGTGTGTGTGTGCAGTGCCATCAAGTCACAGCCAATTTACGGCAACTCCAGCAAGGGGCTTTCAAGGCAAGTGAGATGCAGAGGTGGTTTGCCATTTCCTTCCTCTACAGAGGAAGTGGTTTTCCTTCCAAGTGGTGGTTTTCCTTCCAAGTAATGACTCTACTTATCTTATGAGTTCTGACAATATCAGGCTATAGCATGCTGCCTTCCCTCCCCCTCCTCTCCCTCTAAGCAGATGTAAATTCTGCAGTGCTCAAGTCGTGAGGGATACATGACTCCCCAGAGTTTTGGTTTCTAGTTGTGGTTATGTTCCTAGTTATGCTTGCTCAAAAAGACATGAATTAGAAAACTGGGAACTTGATGTAAGTTGACTTGATTGAACAGTCTGCTATGCTGAGCAGGGAATACTCTCCTTTTAATATGCTGATTCTCATGACCTTTAGATAATGCTCACAGAGGGAGACCATATCAGTTGTGCTGTCTTTCCCCCCACCCCCAGTAATGACCCAAAAGGTGTGCAGCAGGGCCTTTTTAGTTGTGTCCCCCACTTTCTAGAATGCTGTTCCTAAAAAGCTTAGAGTGATGTCTTCATTCAGGCTTTTCATTGTCCATTCAAAATGTATGTGTTTCCTCAGGCGTTTGTGTGCTTTGATTAAACATTGTAGTGGATGGGACTGTATTACTTTGGATTTAAATGACTGCTTTTAATTGTGGGTTTTAATTGTGTTGTACCAGCTGGTACAACATGAAGTGCTGTGCTCTTTGGGTTTTTTGATGTTTGTACATTTATGTTCATCACCCAGAGCACCTTGACAACAAATATATGTCATAAATAGCATTATATTTGAACACTGTTTTTTTCTTTTCACGTTGTGTTGCAGGTATGGCCTCACATGTGCAAGTTTTCTCCCCTCACACCCTTCAATCAAGTGCCTTCTGTAGCGTGAAGAAACTGAAAGTGGAACCAAGTTCTAACTGGGATATGACCGGGTACGGCACACATAGCAAAGTCTACAGCCAGAGCAAGAACGTGCAATCCTCTCAAGCAGCTGCCGCCATCAACGCCTCTCTCCAGATCCCCAACCCCAGCATCCCTTACGAGCAGACCATCATCTTCCCAGCCAGCACGGGGCACATCGTGGTGACATCCGCCAACAGCACCTCTGGTGTGGTCGCAGTATCTGGGCAAGCACTGGGTGGACCACACAACCTGATGCGTCGAAGCACTGTGAGCCTTTTGGACACCTACCAAAAATGTGGACTTAAGCGCAAAAGTGAGGAAATTGAGAACACGAGCAGCGTTCAGATTATCGAAGAGCATCCACCAATGATTCAGAACAATGCCAGTGGGGCCACGGTAGCCACCACCACCACGTCCACGGCCACATCGAAAAACAGTGGCTCCAACAGTGAAGGGGATTACCAGCTGGTACAACATGAAGTGCTGTGTTCCATGACCAACACGTATGAAGTATTAGAATTCCTTGGCCGTGGAACCTTTGGGCAAGTGGTCAAATGCTGGAAACGTGGCACCAATGAAATTGTGGCCATTAAGATCCTTAAAAACCATCCTTCTTATGCCCGGCAAGGTCAAATCGAAGTTAGCATTCTGGCCCGGCTAAGCACTGAAAGCGCAGATGATTACAACTTCGTCCGAGCCTACGAATGTTTCCAGCACAAGAATCACACCTGCCTCGTCTTTGAAATGTTGGAACAGAACCTCTATGATTTTCTAAAACAAAACAAGTTCAGCCCGTTGCCACTTAAGTACATCCGGCCAATCTTACAGCAGGTAGCCACGGCCCTAATGAAATTGAAAAGCCTGGGCTTGATTCATGCAGACCTCAAACCAGAAAACATCATGTTGGTGGATCCATCTCGGCAGCCATACAGGGTCAAGGTCATTGACTTTGGTTCCGCTAGCCACGTGTCTAAGGCTGTGTGCTCAACTTACCTTCAGTCCAGATATTACAGGTAAGAGACCGGGGTTCAAGATAAGTGTTCTTCTTCCAGAAATCCATCTACTGTCATTTGAATGGGTGTAAATGGTATCTGACTTACGATCGGTAGCCAATGTCAAGTAGGCGGGTGATTGATCAGGAGAACAGGAACAATTCAGTCTGTGCCTGAATAACAAGTTACTTCTGCTGTTTGTAGTATTTGTACATGCCAGTAAAGGTGACTGACTGACAAGAAGTTACTTAGATTGAGGAGGCAAGCCAAAATTAGCAGCTCTAAACCAGGCTGAACCCTCCTAGCCCCTTGAGTCACTTGATCCCAACTGTAGTTGTAATACCACCTCATGGCCATCTGCAGTGGTGGCGCTGTAGCACAGCAGAGAGAAGGTCCATCCGTTCTTGCTAAGGCACCATGGCGGGACAGTGAGAAAAGGACTGAGTCTTTCTGGCTGGAGAACCTGGTTTTGGACCCCTGGTACCTTCTTGTGCCCAGACCTAGCTGGCTCAGGCTAGCCTTATCTGGTCAGGTCTCGGAAGCTAAGCCAGAGTTGACCCTACTTAGTGCTTGGATGGGAGACCACCACAGAAGGTCCAGGGTTGCTATGCAGAGGCAGGCAATGGCAAACCACATCTGTTCCTCTCTTGTCTTGAAAACCCCATGAGGGGTTGCTGCAAGTCAGCTGCACCTTGACAGCCCCGTGAACGCTACTTTTTTGGGGGTATGCTTCTTCCTATGAAATTTCATGCCACAGTTGATTTGTTAGTCTTCAAGGGGCTGCCTGTTGTTTTCACTGCAGCAGACTAACACAGTTACAGTTCTGGAAGTAATCAGCGATGTGATTCTTCACGCTGATGAATTTGATCAAGATGCACTGTGCGAGTTCTCACTGTATCTCCTATGTTAAAATGCAACAGATGCTGTGCCTATAAAAATGCAGGTAACAGCAGCACTGCTGAACGGCAGCTCTTCTGTGGGACGCGCATGCAGGGCTCCCCCCTACGATTTGTCAGTTGCTCTGCTATTCACTCTTTACATGCAGATTTCAGACACTAGAGGGGGGGGACCTAATCAGAGCTGGAGAAGCATTAATTTAATCAGAAGGTGGAACTTTGACAGTGTAGCATTGCAGCAGTTGATTTCCATCTAGAAGGAGAAGGTGCCTGCCGGGGGTGGGAGTGGGAGAGACACCCTCACTTCTTTCCTCAAAAAGGTTTATTAAGTGAAACATTCCAGCCAGCCAACAATCCCATCCTTCAGGGCAGACAGGTTTGTGCAGTAAATACATGAAAAGATTTTAGGGTTGCAATTAGCTTGCTAGGTGGAGGTGGGGGGGGAAAGGGAATTAATTTGAGATTATCTTGTTGAGTTGCCTGGGATTCTGCAGGGCTGCTCGAGGTCCTCACATGGACCTCGTACTGAGAGCCAGTGTGCTGTGCTGTAGTGGTTAAGAGCGGCGGAGTCTAATCTGAAGAACCCGGTTTGATTCCTCCACTCCTCCACATAAGGCCTGCTGAGGTGACCTTGGGCCTGTTACAGCTAGGCTTGCCAAGTCCCCCCGGGGGGGGGGGGGGAAACCCCGCCCCGACGTGCACGTCACCTGGAAGTGACGTGACCACGCCGGGCACGCTGGGGGCGGGGCCACAGTCATCCGAGGGAAAACTCTATGGTTTTCCCTCGGATGGTCGTGGCCCCGCCCCAGTGTGCCCAGCGTCGTCATGTCACTTCCGGGTAACGTGTGTGTGGCGCGCGCGCGCACTCCAGCCGCCAGCCGGGAGTCCCCCGCTGCGGCTCAAAAAGCACTTGGCAACCCTAGTTACAGATCTCTCAGAACTCTCTCAGCCCCACCTATCTCACGAGGTGCCTGTTGTGGGGAGAGGAAGGGAAAGGATAAGTCTATCAATGAAGATAAGTCTGTCAATGAGGATAAGTCTATCAGTGGCTACTAGCCCTGGGAGGGGAACCTCCATATTCAGAGGCACTAAGCCTCTGTATCCCAGCACCAGGAGGCAACATCAGGGGAAGGCCTCGGCTACATTAGATAGAGTCTTCTTATGTTCTTAAGGTGATTGTAAGCTGCTTTGAGACCCCTTAGGGTAGAGAAAAGTGGGGTATAAAAACCTACTATTCTTCTGCAGGCGGCTGTATGGAATAAGGCTTTGATGAGGTGGGAAAAAGAAAGTATTTGGTTTTTCACAGTTCTGTTATTGTTGCCAAGGTTGAGAAGAACCCTGATGGTCGACAGGTCTTTGGTTCCGAATTGCTGTTCAGAACCTTGTTCAAAGGTTGCCAGCGTTCATATTATCATATCCAGTATCTATTCCTGAAAAACAAAGCAGGGAGGTGAAGTTACTGGAGAGGGTGGGGAGAGGGTGGGGGGAAGCTGATGAAGTCATGAGGGACACTCATTTCCCTGTCTCTTAGTCTTTTTGTTTATGGTGGTGGGGGTGAAGGGGGTGTGTGCTGGGAGGAGCAAAGGTCTCTTCTCTAACCAAGATCCTCATTTGTATGCTAGAGGCGATATGCAACTTCAGAAAGATTTGAAAAAGAAAATGATTTGTTTTCCATTGCTTTTGTTGCCAGGTCATTAGGAAGACAGATGGGCTGGCATTAAGGAAACATAAACAGGAAATGAACGTTATTAAGAAACATCCTAATAATAAATCCCAATAGACCGGGGAACTCTCTTTTTTTTAAATCTCGACAATGAGGTGTTGCTTGAGACAGTTAAATCCCCAGTTTTGACGAAGCTTTGGAGGAAATGGTCAGGACTGATTCTGTGAGGACAGATTCACCTCCCCACCCTCCAAGAGAGGTGATGGGTATAAATAGCCCATGTACCTTACTCGAGGGTGAGGAAGGGCTATTGAATGTGAGCTGGCACAGATACCATCTTTTCCATCACCTGGAATTAGTAGCCGCCAATAGGGAGGCCAGATGGCACGCAATGAGCTTTAGAATTCACCCTAAGTATTTTAATTAAGAAACACTCGGCGGTGGCATGATTGCCTGGTGCCTCGTTGCTAACACATTCTGGCCTTAAAGATGGTGTAATTGGAGCAGAGGAGGGCCAGGCAGGGTGATCATCTGGTGGTGTAGAAGGTAACAACACCTTGCGTCATCTGCTCTCAATGCTGGTTGTCAGTGCAAGGGGGAAGAGATGGCATCGCAGATATTCCTGTGCTACGTGATACGATATGAATGTGAATTTTGTTTCCTCCTTTAGTTACTGTATAATCTATATGGAACTGCACCAGGATTTGGGAGGAGAAGTGGCCTTTTTAAAATGTACCTGCTCAGATGGGCTTGTAAATATCCCTTTACCTGGTGTCAGGGCTCTTTTTGGGCAGGAACGCACAGGAACGGAGTTCCGGCTGGCTTCAGAGTTGGCCACGCCCACTACAGCCAAAACCTCTCCATGCGTGGCTATGGAGGGAAGGCCTGGAAAGTGACCCCCCCCCCGGCAAATCCAAGGTGAGCGGGCCGGGGGGGCCTGGAAGGATCGGGGAGGCATTTAAATGCCTCCCCATGCCTTCCCCGGCCTGTCCGGGGGGGGGCTTGCCTGGGCTCCCCACAGCCGCGGGGTGCCCGGCCAAGCCAAGGTGTGGCCTAATATGCTAATGAGTTGTGCTGTCAGGGGTGTGGCCTAATATGCTAATGGGTTCCTGCTGGGTTTTTTGTACAAAAAAAGCCCTGCCTGGTGTTCTGTAAATATCCACTTGCCTAGTCAGAGAGCCAGCATGGGACAGAAGTCAGAGCAGGGGTCCCCAACATGGTGCCCGTGAGCACCACGGATCCCGCCAACACCTTTCCTGGTGCTCGCCAACTGATTTTAGGAAACGGGTGGAGATTTTGCCCAGCAGAGCTTCGGATGGACCGTTTGAGATCTGATTGGCTGTGCACATTTTTTTAAAACATTGGCTTCGTGTTGGACTAGGATCTGGGAGACCCACCTTCAGATCTCCATTATGCCATGGAAGCTTGCTGGATGATCTTGGGCAAGTCACTGTCTTTCAGCCAAGGCTACCTCGTACGGTTGCTGTAAGGATCAACCAGAGGAGCGGAACATGCCGTTGTGAGCCTGCCGGGGAGAAAAGCGAGGCTGTTTCTAAGTAAATAATTCTGCATGAGAAAGATGCTGCTGCACGTGAGCAGATAGCAAAAAATGCAAGACATTAAGAAGAGAAGAAGAAGAAGAGATTGGATTTATACCCCGCCCTTCACTACCCAAAGGTGTCTCAGAGCGGCTTACAAACTCCTTTCCCTTCCCCTCCCCACAACAGACACCCTGTGAGGTAGGTGGGGCTGAGAGAGCTCTTGACAGAAACTGCTCTTTTTCAAGGACAGCTCATATCAGAACTACGGCTTGCCCAAGGTCATCCAGCCAGGTGCAAGTGGAGGAGTGGGGAATCAAACCCGGTTCTCCCAGATTAGAGTCTGCACACTTAACCACTACACCAAACTGTAACTACCTATTTACTGTTTGTATATTGCTGTATGCATTTAAGGTTACCTGTGCATTACAGGATTCTCTTTTCCTGCATAGTGTGCATTCTCCAGTTCTGGCCTTAGCGTTAATACTCTGTGTGCAAGACGTAGATCACATCTACATGTTAATTTTTCTTAATAAAATCAATAGTGGAGCGGATAATATGTAAGAATATGCATGTGGGCTAGATAAATCGTGAGCTTGTTAATGTTTAAATTACAGCATTTTTGATGATTTAAAAGGTTGCTTTGTTAAATGAAATGTACGTCCCTGCCAAGTAGGAAACTTTCTGTAAGCCTGAAGCATGCTAGCTGGGGTTTTTCTTTTATTATAACTTATTAGGATGTCAAAATGACTTGCATCAGGATGGGGATGGCCAAGTAGATCAGTAAAAGAATTTTGGTGGGCTAGTAATATTTGTGGATGTGAGGCAAGACCGTACGCATAAGCAGACAACACAGTACAGCGGTATAATATCCATTTATGGAAGTCCCTGGCTTAGTCCTTGGTGTCTCTGGTTGAGGGATCT